AAACAGAATATTATATATAGCACCAAAATACTTTTCAGCGGTGTTTTACGAAATCATATTCAGAAAAGAATTTTTAGATTGATGAGTCCACACACAATATCAAAGCCGTATTCGGTCTAGACCGGAGATACATTCTACTTGAAAATAAAAGCAAGGCCAAATAATTGAACATCATTCATTTAAATGAATAAATGAATTTATAAATTTAGCACAAAATATAAGTAATATTTTATTCAAATTAGCGGATGAATTTTCTGTAAATAATAAAAAAATTAATTATAAACTATAAAATTATACGGGTCATGTCAAACTTGCTTTAAAAATAATTATGAACAATTGTTGGTAATTTACATGTCAGTAAATCGTATGCCAATAAGTGTCATGGGTGTCGTGAAAATCCTAGAGTGTTTTGCAACATGTATTAATTAGAAAAATTATTTGCAATTTTCATAAATAGTATATTTGCATAATTTTGATAGCTTGCATAAAAAGGTTGTGACAAACAGGTAAAGATGTATTATCGCGAAACCTATTTCGAGTGTCAGACATCGTTTGCTAAAATCGCCCAGGGCGAGGCAGCATCCGCAGACTTCCTCTGAAAAATAATTTATAAATCACATGAATGTTGAATACTTGATGTAAATAAAGGTCAATTGGGGTTTCTGTTTTGGTCCCACTATTACATTGAGGAAGTTCTGTGGTTACAAGTCTGTGGTTACTTTTGAAGCGTTTAGTATGCGAACTGAATCTCATTTTACACCCGCGACATCAAATTTCAAGAATTGAAACATTTTGTAAATATCATTTGTCGGCTTGGTCAAATTAAAAGGTTTGAGGTGCAAAGAATATTGTAGGAAGTAATGGGAAATATAAAACTGATCAAAATTCAAATAAAAATGTGTATTGAATGCTAACGAAACTTTTTGTTTATTAGATACACAATTAGGAAAATTATTTTCAATATTACTAAAATATTTACCGCTAGACATTTTATGACAACAGCCGCAAGTAGAATACCTGAAAAATAAAAAAAAAGAACATTAGAAGTTTGACACGTTGAGCTTGCTATCCGTATATTGGTCGTGATATGGTAAATTGTTAAAATTTGCTACAAATTTGATGAAAATTTTATTTAATTGAAAAAAAAAAGATTTTATTCTGAGAATTTGACTTCAGCAAATTCATATAGGCATTGTGTTTAAAATATTTATGCATTAATTGAGATTAGTTTTTAAATTTGTAGCAGCCAAACAGTCGGTGTATTATGCTGAGTTTTTAAAATTACGACCCAGGCTGATTATTGACCAGCTAATTCATGCATTTAGTCGGTAACATCAACAATTTGAAGTTGTCTTATCCTATCGGTTTACGTCTTTCCCATTATATGTTAAGTATATTTTATGTTTCCTTTTGTGACAAGTTCTAGTACCAAATACTTACATAATATTACGACTATTATAACAGCTTGCCATGGTACTACAATTATTGAGTCATTTCCTTTGCAATCACATTCATTATCACAGTTACATTTAGGCGTTTGGTTGGCTGTACTCGTCATAGCAGGAGTTGTAATCTTGATGTAAAAACAAGAGAGATCAAAAATATTTACTTTTACTGAAGATTGAATGGTACAACTACAAAATAAATTAAAAATAGAATATAGTAAAGATCAAAATAGTTGTTCCATATATATCCCAATACCATATCAGGGTACAAACGCACAGAAAATGATGTATTTCAATAAGAAATCAATAAAGATTAACAAACTTATGGGTAGCATGGGCCCTCCTAAAATACGAATACTTCGAGAGCACCCATTTGTTGAAAATTATAGTGTGTCCTGTGACATAAAGTATTTTAAACTATACGGCTCGTGGCAAGGAAATGATAAAATGCAACATATATTGCAATAGTAAGCGGTAGACTTTTGCTTAAAATGTGAAAAAAAATACAAAAATTACTTCTAATTACTGAAATTTTAATTGGATCAGCTATCAATGAAATAGTCTGAGGATTTATACTTGTTAAATTGAACATTATCAATTACAATTAAAATATTTGTTTGTGATGTATATTGCAAATTTAACCAATACGATTCTTCATAGAATAATAATAATTATTAATTTAGTTTTATAATAGCATGTATTTGAATAGGAAGAAATCTTGCCCACTTACCGCCAATACAAAGCCATTCATATGAAACAACATCAAGCAACAAATGAAAATCCATATTCTGTTTGCTACCTGAGCCATTTCCTTTTCGAAAGCATTTAAAATGTAATTAGTATATAGTATTTTACAGTGGAATTGAAACCACTATACAGTAAACAAAAGAAATAGGAAATCATTAAACTGACGTCACTTCATTAACGTTTGAGGAAAGAATTCTGCATTGGGAACATCTATCGTTGAAGAAGTCGTATTTAAATGAATTCTATCGACTTGACTCGATGTCCCTGCACACATGCTGATTGTTAAGATTACTCTCATGTAGTAAATTTGGTAGTCTATAGCGAACCTAAAAGATTCCGGTCCTCGTTGCTTGTTCAGCGACATATTTGTAGTGAAAGCGAGAAAGCGACGTATAAAATATTTTCTTCAAAAATTGACATCCACTTATGATAAAGACGAAAAAGCACAGTTAACAAAATGCAGGTCATTCATTGTCCATTGCGGTAATTGGCCGTGAAGTACGAGAAGTTATATTGGATCGCTTGCTTTATGTTACATTGCTTGACTCTCGACACAGCTAATGCATTTCTGGAATATATCAACTCTTAAACTGAATTCCATCCAACTTTGGTAACTTTTTACGTGCTAACGATCGAATTTAAAAGAAATAAACGATACAGACTTTTGATGATCTGATTGAATACTAACTACTTCAACCTTGTCACATTTGAATCAACATCTTGAGATTTTGATAAAAAATTTTAACAAAAAAAAACGCACCTAAGCGTTTGCTTTGAAGGGAAATTCCACCGTGTTGTAATAGTTTATCTGGAGGGCATGAGAATAAACTCTCGGCGTGACGGCGGTTCGCATTTTTGCGAGATTGGGCAAGCGATACTGAATTACGTAAGACTGGAATTCAAAACTTCTTAGATAAACGTTTAATCTTGGCCGTCGATAGTCTGAACGCAAATTGCACGTCTATAACACGTCTGACATTTAGCAATGAATGAAGAATTTTTGAATAGCGCACGCTATGACTACAACAATCAATACTGCGCTTATATTCAATACGCGACATTATTCATATAAATCTAAATAATATTAAATACTATCTTGTCCTATTGATTTGATACGACTCGCATCACCAATTTACATACCTCTTGCTGTGTTTCGTTTTTTTCTACTTCTGTAAGTCTGAAGCTGGTTTTTAAAATGCTACAACTGTTATTTGCAAATGTATCAACTGTTGAACAAATGTAAAGATGTCTTTGAATAATCACTCGACCACGATGGCTTAGTCGCGCGTATCGAGATTTTTATCAATGGAAATATTAAGACATGTAGCATGTCCGGAGTTAGTTGACGCAAAATTGTTCATGAAGCCTTTAGCATCTTGGCATATATATATTTGGCATGAGCATGTGAAGGCCAAGAAATACCTCAACCACGTTTAAAAGGGATGTAAACTCAAATTAGGTAAAGATAATAACCGACCACTGCAATATTGAATAATTATAAAAAAACATCTGTAAAATTGCGGCGTTGTACTATCCAGCGCATATATTGTCGTGGTACTTAAAGTATATGGACCCCTAATAGTCAAAAAATACTCAGCATGATTTGCTAATAAACTGATATACTTGATAAAAGATTAACTGGACTTCATTCCCTTCAGTAAATATTGAAGAAAATTTATTTTTACCAGAGTTCGTTTTGAATAACTAATCGCCAAAAGGTAACAAATCAATAAACCCGAGCGCACTTTAACAGAGCTAAATCGAAAGTATTTTATCATATTGAAAAGTTCATCAAATTGCGTTCTGGTATTTGAACAAGTTAATATTTCAAATACTAGAAGTAGACAAATAATATATATACGAAGCTCACCGATCCAGTCTCAATATAACATTGAAAGTAACTCACAAAGGAATTGTGTTTACTTACTTACTCTCAGCTTGAGCTGCTCGTCAAACGGATTAGGTTTAAGCGAAATTTTCTTGAATAAATTAGCAGATGGATAATTCAGCCTTTAGATCGCAGTATTGCGAGAATTAATTTTGAATAATAAGTCACAATAAAACATTCATCATTCTTAAAATAGGTTTCGTTGTAAGAATTCACACTATGAAAACTATGGCATAAACGTTAAGTCAAGCGATTTAAAATTTGAATAGATCAAACTTGCCATTAACGTCCAAGTTTACAATTACCCCTTTAATTAACCCAATCGATATCTTGGAATTTCCCCCTCAACTGTCATATTTTGAGCAAAAGCGGTTGCCACTGCGAATTTTTCATACTGAAACACATGAAACACTGAGGATTGAGAAAGTGAAATTCTCCCATGATGTAATTTCTGTACACGAAAACACACATAACGTTATTCGCACGTTCAATTCAAGTTCAAACTATTTTTACATGATAGTGAATCTTAAGTACAGTTTCTTGTGAACAGTGCTCATGAGTTTTGAAATAACATATTTTGTGATAACAGGTATGTGCTACTAAACGTCAAAACCTAAGCGGAAATATTCTTAAGCGTCAAATGTAAGACGCAAAAATGCGAGTTACCGTGGCAAAATTCATTCAAAACTTTGACTTTGGGTAAAAAAGTTTCCGTAATTAAATAATAATTTTTTTCAAATTTTATGTTAAATCGATCTGTCGTGATAACAAGTTGACATTTTGAAACAAAAGCTGCTAAAGTTGCAAAAGTAAGAAAATCCATTTTAAGCTTTTTTTTCATTTTTGAGAAATGAACAAAGTCAGTAAATGTATCGTTATTTATTTTATTAAATAAATCGTATATTCCATAAAAGTACAGGTAAATGTTGTTAGGTAATATGTCAATACAAATTTACTATAACATTTAATCTTCCTCGTATTCATAGCAGTTTTCTGCAATACTATTGTTTTGTAAACAGTATTTCCGGCAACAGAGAAATTTTTACAGCTATCAATGGCACAAATTTGATTTGCATCTTACAAAGATATGAGAAATTACCTGTTAGATATTTAAAAGAAATCAACCAGAAGCTATTAAAGATTAAGGAAACAAAAACGAACGGTTTAAATTATTATCAACCATCGATTTATTTCAGATTGTATATATCGTATTTTAATCAAGACGTATAGGCTACTAAAGAGATGTATATGCTACTAAAAGAATATGTATATTCAAAACAATTGATGCGCTAGACTAGACAGAAATAAATGCAATTTGGGCATCTTACACTTTCTTGATTAGATCAGTCAGTAGTGCAGATGGTTATCATATATTTTTTTAATATTTGAATAAGTTGAACTCAACCAAATGACGCACCCAACGTTTTGTTACGTAATCGAAACCTAATTACACGCAACCAATTGTTTTTGAATTTGGACCAAGATTCCAAAACATTTTGCCATATACTTTAGTTTAATTTCTGGGATTTGAATATAATATTTTTCTTTATAGTGTGTCTAAACTTTAAATCATGTGTGAAAATCGAAGCAAGTTATAATATATTTTGATATCAAATTCTCTCATATGTTCTTTCAAATTCTTTCAAGGGCTTCAAAAGTGTTGAAACTTTCAAAATAGAAGGAAATAACAAATCAGGTTGAAACCTTAACAATAACTGAAACTATTGGAAACAAAATGTTTCATAAAACTAACAAAGCAAATTATAGATTTACGGAATTCTCGAATATCTTGGACAAACCCATCCACCTTTTACAATCGCCCCCCCCAACTTTATATTAAAAGAGAACGATCGTTTGTTCCACGCATATATATGCTAATATAGGTGACATTTCATGGGTCTTTATCTTTATTATTGTTTTCCTCTTTCTTTTTTGTTCCAATTTGATCATTAACTTCCATATCATCCATAATTATGTCAAATTTTTCTATTCGTTGTTGGTGTTGGAGGTCTTTTTCGTGGACTTCATTTTCTACAATTGCCTCAGTTTTGCTGTTTTTATGCTCATTCTCTGTGCCATTGGCTTTATTATTTTCTTTATTAACATTTTGTTTTTTGTCAGCATTGGCAATATTCAAATTGTGAGACGACATAGGTCTGGCAGGAACCACTCTTTGTTCAAATACACGATATTCATCGTATTTTCTTAATGATGGTTCGGAAATTTGACGACCGTCAATGTCGTAAAACCGTATTTCTCCTCCTTTCCTTCTTCCTTCTATAACTCGAGATGATTTTTCGGGATCATATGCTGATTGTCTGCTGTATTTGTACTAAAAACAAAAATGTTTTCAAGAACCATATAATTAATTCATGCAATTTGCAAAATGAAAGCCTTGTTAAGGCATTCGAAACACGACATAAGAAATTTGAAACAGAGAATCTAAGAATAAATACGACTTAAACACATACATTTGTAGAACTGATTTATACACCAGCTAAAAAGTGTATTCATACATCAAGATGGCTGGACATCATATCATTATTGTAATTCATAAAAATATTTACTTACCTTGTAATTCGCATAAATTAACACAGCAATACAGAGTAAACCTGTGAAAATAAATAGCCTCATTATAGAGGTAAACTGATGCAGTATTAGCATGATACAATGATAGTGTCAACAATTTTTCAAATATTTAAAATGAAAATTATTTAACGAAGATATTTAGCAAAATTGGCCTAATCGCGTGATTGTGATTAATTAACACGAGGTGCTCTGACTAAATTTATAATAAATATTAATAATATATTACAATAAGTATTATTTGTATACGAAAATCTTAATCACCAATTTTGTTCTAGATCGAATCTTGATAGAATGAGTGAACAAGTGAAAAACGCATAATATCATATGACATTTCTCTTCTTTCATGTAATAGGTACCTGCAATAACAGCTGGAATAATAATTCCCCATTGTGTGGATGACGGATCATCTTCAACAACACATATACAAACGTTGTGACATATCTTTTTCAAGCCTTCGGTACAATTGGCATTGACAGGAGTTGTAAAAGTTGTCATTCTTGTGTGTTATCTGAGAGATTCATGATAAAGTTTTATTTTATATAAAATTATTTACAAAAAATAATCAACATTATGTGAAAGTGAATGAAATAGTTTAAGGCCCTCACGCCAACCCGATGCTATAGACCAGTGTGGTTTCCAACCTTTTGTTTCGGCCCAATTTTTGTAAAAAAATTATTTTGTAAAATCTCGCGATTCAAAGATATGCTCAAATACTATACGACATGTAGTGCTTTTATATCCACAAAATTAAATACAACAACAAAATCATTTTACATAACATTTATCTCATTATTTATAAATTATTGCTTGCTTGCCCACAACGATTTATTTAAATCATGGCGTGGCTACTTTTTACGCTGTGATACTTCCAACATATACAATTACGATTGATCAACACTTCAATACCAGAAATAAAAAGGCAACAACATTCACTAAAAATGAAAATCAATACGTTTTAGGTTTTCGCTGAAAAAATTAGCAATTCTAAAAAAATTGGGTCGCGAGCCATAGGTTGGGAAACACTACTATAGAAGGGTGATCGTACATTTGAATCCACGTACATTTGAACCCATGTGTATATCCACGGGTTCAATCTATATGCGGGTGCTAGAACCCATGGGTTAAGGTTAGTATAGGTTCAAATATCCGCAAAACAAAAAAAATTCCATAGGTGCAATAGAATGCAGGTGCAATTGTCGTGGGTTCAAATGTACGGGAACCCTATAAAATAGAGACTTGATAGTCGCTTGAATACTGTACTATAAGTACAGTAAGTACTAAATGTTTAAAGGAGAAAGCAATCACAGAGGTGGGTTTTCTCGTTTTATGTTGCGTTATCATTACTATCATTACATTACCTCTAATGAGAATATTATATTAATTTAATATACCTATCATAGTTGGCTAACTTTGCTATATGACAGTTACTGATTGGGCTATACTATTTCCTGCGGGGCTATTTATTAATACAAATGAATCTGTCACTATCAACTATTCTCAATTTGATAACACACAGCTATACATACCATGCAGGACGAACCAACAAAATTAATATTGCCTCTTTAGCATGACTGTCTGTTTCTTTTCATGCTACTTTCATGCTGTTGCAGACGAATCCGCTATGTTCAAAGTTTACATTAGATCAATGACCATTGCTTAACCGGTTTATGTTAAATTAAATTCACATATGTACCACACATCAAAAACGCAATTTATCTAGGCATCATCCTCGATCGGAATAACGACTCATTGTTCGGTCAGATCAATATGTACATTGATGCAATTAATCATGTTGTCACGTGACTTCCTGTGGTCCGTCCAAAGTTTCAAACTCCAAGAAATATGGCGCCTAATGAATTGATTTAATGAATCTTATGCATTATTTTTAGAAAAGAAGTAATGTGTTTTCTGAAACCTATAATTAAATTGCGAGGTTGGTTGTAATTAGCTGTCAGGTTTTATTCCCTGGCACCATTGATGAAGTTGTGTCAAATTATTAGATATTACTTTCGGTGTACCATTGTCAATTCAAGATTGAAACCAATTGATAATAAAATAAAATTAACTTGATCATTCTCTTCGTATTTATGGTGATATTTGAATCTTATGTACAGAAACCACGTTATGGTATGTGAACTGCTTGATGATGAATGGGCCTGAAATTTCCGTATTACGGAAGTTCAACAATCGAATGATAAAATAGTTCTAATAATTTTAATTTCATTCCCGTATTAAGCAATTTCATTTTTATTTGATATGTTCGATTTATTATAGTAATTATACGTAAATGTATTACAATGTATTAAATGTAAACATATGGCAAACTTTATAGATTTCCAAACAAATTTGACAAATCAAGACTCTTCTTGTCATATAACTGCCTAACTGCGTGAACAATATCAATAAAAACATTCAAATCTGTTTCCGCATATGTCGGACCCAAATTTAACCCAAGCAATGTTTGATTCGCTATAAAACTGTGTAACGTGGATTTGTCAAACAGATGTTATCCATGCACACGAGGACAACTAGTATTAATTTATCTCCCTCTATTAGTTAGTTCTATGGACTTGTCTCTGACGTAAATAATTGGCAGTCTATAAATAACACTAAAAATGTAGTCATAAAGTGTCACTAAAATGCTCACATTTTCGTTGACTGGTGTGACATCGTATTTGGCATTTTTCAGTGGTTATTCTAAAGTAAAAAAAAAAAAACTAACTGAGCATGACAATGAATGACGTTAACATTTACTACACATACTGCACTTTTATAAGTAATTTATTTTTAGAAATTGGAATTTGTTATTTTGGATTTGATTTTGGAAATTTATGCAATATTTCATGTTTATTGGACACGAAGTGGACATAACGATCGTTTCAAAATTTTGTTGTTATTGGTATTGTTATTCGTCTCCGTCTCCATTTTTAAAAAATCGCTTTTCTCTTCGAATACTGGACCAATTGCTTTGAAATTTTCAGTGGTCAAAAATAAAATTTTTCTCCAGAAGGCTATTACTTTTTTTTTCGCTATGACGTCATCAAAATTATTGCCATTGGGCGGCGCTACGTGTCCATATATTTGAGCATAGCTCTCTTGTTTTATTTTTAATTTTACGTTCAAATTCATTTCGGATATTGTAACCTCAAAATATGACAAACTTGGAGTTAGGTCATAATGGTTGCAAATTACTGATATAGAGCGATTGGAAAAGCACCTTTGGTTAGAATTTAGCGCTGAAAACACTGGACTTGCAACTGATGTAGATTTTCCCAGTAAGTAATATCCAAACGTAGCTGAGGAAATTTCAATATCAATTTGGAACAAAAAAAAGTGAAAATATAGATATGATAGTTTTTGAATAGTGCTTATTTCTTGACCTACTTGACACAATTCAAATGTATATAACTATAATTGGTCTAAAACTAAAGTCACTTGGCTTACTTGTATAACCTTTTTTACCAAACTTTAATATATATATATATATATATATATATATATATATATACTTTAAGTATTGATGAATGCTGCCTAACATGAAGAGGACGATGTGCGCAATGTTTATTTTATATGACTCAGTATGATTCGTAATATTCGGTCAACAGCAATTTAAATATATATTTATTCTTTGTTTATTAAAGTTGGTGTTTGATGTATGGTAGGTGTTGTTTCTTGAGTGGTTTGTTTTAGAAGTCAACAAGAACCACACGTTGATATTGAATATTGTGATGTTTGATTATTTTTTTGTATAAGTTTGCCCAATTGCAAATTGTGAGCTGTACGATCTGGAACAATTTTTCAACACCACTGACACTGGAAGGTCTTGTAATATGAAGATGTATATAAAGATGTATAATACAAGAGTTGAGACTTAAGACTATCAGAGAAAACATCTATAGTGAAACATTATAAAAAAAACTTTTTAGAAACAAAATGACACAAAGGCATTGTCAACAAAGACGACGTTAATAGATTAAGACTAGTCGATAATCCATTAGATCCCCCCCAATGTTTAACTCACAAAAATATTTGATGTTGTCAACATTTTGATTAAAGTATGCCAGATACCTATGAATACTCCCTGAGGCGCATCACTAGGGGGAATCACCGTTGAAGAGAAGTTAGTTTCGAATAACGTTGAGCGAAAAATAACATACAATTAAGTTGGATTCTCCTGTTCAATAATGAAAATTTAAACAAAAATTTCCGGATTTACGTAAGATCGTAATTGTATGGTACAGATATTTAAAGAAGAGAAATCCATATACCATGCTATTCGGAGTATTTTCGACCAAGAGGCGCGTCGCTTATTATCTCAATTTTTACCAGATTCGTAAAGATCGGCCTCATCATATGAAAAGTCATATCTTGAATATATTATGTCTATCGCAAAAAGAGCTTTTAAAACGACCGATTCTTTTTCGTTCCGGAGAATGTTTATCGTCTGTATTAATAATTCGCTTATATAATATGTCAGGTACTGCTCAAATATCTTGAATACCGTTTTTTTTTATACTTGTTTTTGTTCTTGACCAAATGTGGATTTACCTAATTTATTTTATACCGATTATGACTGACCGTTCACGATGGCAGGAACCTGAATGTAGTATGTGTACGAGGTTAGGGTTAGGCCAATTTTCAGGTACAAATACTACGGGAGTCACTTGGATAGTCCCCGAACTCGTAATAGAAATAAAATAAGGAAAATTGGAATAAAATTATGACCTAACCTGGTACAAATACTATGTTCGGGTGTCCGCCATCTTGGTTCACATATACTACGAGAGTAGCAAAATCTTTTATGTCGCTTCGCTAGATCTACCACACTTTGTTTCAGTTTAATCTCTTAATCTGATTTTCAATTTAGAAATCGTAATATAATGCATGTACCTGAAATAATAATATTCTTCATATTTTCATTTGCTGCATTTCTGTCGACATATTCAGCATCAACCATCGTAAGTAGTAGAAGTAAAAACGAAAAAATGTTCTGAAATGGTATTTTCATTTTAAATATAGTTCTTGAAACTTCAAAACTTCAAAAGCATAAAGAATGAATATTTATATGACGGAATTTCAGCTTAAAGCTTACTTCACTTTTTTATAATTTTCTATATTTTTATAAACCCATTGAAACTTTTACATTTATGGGGAATAATGAATTGTGCTTACCCACTATTAAAACTAAATTGTTGGGTATATTTAAAAATTTGTACATAAATATTATACTTTCAGACTGCAAACCTGGACAAATCCGAACTGAACAACTCTACAAACTGTACTAACCGTGCAAATTTGACTGATACCAAAAATTCAACTAGCTTTACGTGCCCAGAAGAAAGCAAAAGCCGTGCTTGGATTGCTGGTGTTGTTATTTTTATAGGTGAGAGATAGTAAAAATAGTAATATTTAATAAATTATTTTGTTTAATTCAAATTTTTGAAGCTATGGATCTTTATTTTTAATGTTGCTGAAACTCGCAAGGATATTATTAAAAAATCGAGTCTACCGCAACCTACGTCTAGTTTTTATAATAATGTTTTACAATATTTCTTAATTATCTTCACTATAATAAGTTTTAGATAAACGAAAAATCAAAATAATTTTAGTAAAAATAATAAGTCGTAGATTGCAATTGTAATGTATATGCACCAACCAATTGCAATTTATCAGACCCATTGCATCAAAATATTTGCATTAGTAGTCTCATTGTAAAACAGTGCATATCGTCAAAAATTGAAAGTACATGAGTTACCATTAGGCAAGTAGAAATGTACTATATTTTTTTCAGTGCTCTTCCTATTTGGCGGTATTTGCGGAAAAGGAAACGTATCCGTTTCAATTGGTGGCGGGGGTTTCGGTGCTGGAGGAGGGGACGGCGGGGGTTGTGGATGAAGAGATTTTGTTTTTGAGGTTTTATAAGAAAAATGTAACAATATATAATTATCATCAAGCACAGTTTTTTTCATACGTATTTATGTATATTGTAAATGTTTCATTTAACGTAAAATCAACGTTCTATTTTAAATCAGACGAGTTTTAAAAATAGTAAGATCTATATATCATTGGTCATTCCGTACATTTCTAAATATTTTAAACATTATTTCATTATTATTCGTTTTTGTGTGCATATTAATGACATGTACCCAAATTTTGTATGGTATATTTTTACTTCAATAAAATGATAACCAATAAGTAACAATATATTATATTTGAATATTGCTTTTTTTGTTACGTGCTAACTCATTATGTTCAAGCTTAGAAACAATTAATGCCTATTTGAATAAAGTTAAACCCGGTATGATATGATCTATGAAGTACGCTCCATGTAAATAAAAAAAGCTATTGCACTCATTGAATTTAAACTAATAAAATACTGTAGATAGAACAATAATATTGCTATCGTTCATACGATTTTTATGTTTAAATTGCTCGTACTATTTCATAATTTTGATTTTAAAATGGATGTGCAATTTCGGTATTGCAACATCATTTTCATAATTAAAACATATGATTTTGAAATAAATAATTCTGACAAAAACAAGAATTAGCAATTTTGGATGAAATAGTAAACGTGAATAAAATGAAAAACGTCATCGCCATGCGATCAACACAATACTGATTGATAGCCCGGGGGTTAATGAGTAGGGAAATAACCTGCACAAAGAATTTAGTTTTGGCATAACATGTCAGTCGATACCACAAGCAACTGTGATGGAGCATTTCTTAACAATTATGTCCAAGTCGAGAGACATAGAACCCAGAACAATACGAAATCGAGACAGCGGAAATGTAAAATGATAATTTTATGTAGCATGTAGTGAAACATTTTTTTTATCTTTGTCGTATTTCATGGAGTGCGTTGAAATACTAACTTAATAAGTGCGCGTATTTCGTCTTTGATTAAAACTTCTCGTTGAAAAAGGAATGGTCGCAAGATGATCAAAACTATTTAAAACTAATAGTAGTTTTACTAGCCTAGCAAAGTCAGGTCTAATGTTAATATATTTGATTATGAATATTGGCGGACAAAATGTTAGACGTTTAAATTAGTTCCCATTTTCCCAATATTGGAAGCTCACAATACAATTTTGAACGAACTAAAAATCGTCACACAAAATTGTGGAAACATGCATTGAAATGACGTATGATTTATAGATAGTCAGATATTTACTGTTGACAATCATTGAGCGTGTACTACTAACATAAATGTCTTCTATAAATAATGTCAAACGCAAGCTGAGAGACATAAAATAAAAATGTTTGTAAGATAACAATCGCATGTAGCAGATAACTGGGGAACAACAGGCCAGATACCATACCAACAGTAATATTTCTTCAAGTATCAAATGGAGTTACTTTATTACTATAATTTGCTTCCATCACGAAATATTATCCAATATACCAAAATATGATTTGCTAGGCATTGCCATCGTAAAAGTTATATTGCTAGAACTACTTTAATATTTATACCGGGAAAATTGAATAAAAAAATTAACGTTTTGACATTTGGTACGCAGTTTCCTAAGTTTTCGAAGGGTATAAAACAGCTACTCAAAAAAATCATTTGGGGCATACGAATTTATTTTCATATTATTTTTTCTCTTTGTATTTTGTTATTAAATTTCAAGAAGCGTAACAAAATGAGTATTTCTCAACTTATGATAATCTACACATTCTGTTTTTCTGCATTTCTTTTGACATATTCAGCATCAACCAGTGTAAGTACTACAATACGAATTCAATTTTTTTTAATATATTTCACTTTCTGTGAGGAAATATTTTGATTGGATTTACTAGTCATAATCATTGACTCGGTTCTCTTTGGAAATCAGTCACCATTTGTCAAAGAATCTAACTACCTTGACGTGTCTGAATGGAATAACTCGCACATGTCATAAATTAATCACCAGTGAGACTTAACTGAGTGATAGAATCGACTTTGGGTCAGAATCAACGCTTAGATAACCATAAACAGATTTGACTACCACGCACTGCTTAGTGCTTAGATTTTTATCATATTCCCAAGTTCTTCAAATTCCCATTGACTGCAAGTTTAGCCTGTCACCTTCTTATATTTGCCGAACATGATAATGAAACCGTTGAAATTTATAGGCCTGCGTCTTATGAGATCAGTGAATGAATCAGATGAAACTAATATAAAAGTGGAAGTGTACATAAATGTTAAATATATCCGAATTACCTTTGTTAGTTGTTGTCGTATATGAACTTCCAGTATATTAACCATAATTATTGTTTTAACTCTAGACCCAAACACCAGATATCTCTGAACTCAAAAACTCGACGAAATGTTCTCAGGGTTCAAATTTAAACAACAAAGACGATAGAAATAACTTCCCGTGCCCTGAAAATACCAGACATCTGGGTTGGATTGTGGCAGTAATTTTTGGTGGCATAGTAGGTGAGAAAATGTATAATTTATTGAAAATTTGCAATAATATGATTTGTGCAATAAATAGTTGTGTTATAGCAAGGTTCATTGGTTTCTATATATATATTGGGAATTTCGGCTTCACCATTAGATTGCGTTAAATCCTGTTTTGTTTTAGCTCTCTTCATAATTGTAATAAGTATGAAAAGATTAATTTGCGGGGGACTATCACATCCAGGAGGAGGAACAACAAGAGGGGGAGGTGGTGGAATAGGTTTTGGTGGCGTGGGGTTCTCTTCTGGAGGAGGAGATGGGGGTGGCTGTGGCAGGAAGGATTTATGAGCATTAATCATGATTAAATCGATTTTTAAATAATACCAGAATTCCAATATAGAAAATGTTTTTTTTTGTGTCATCGTTCGACATATTATAATTGAAATGAAACTTTCGTCTAGCTTGTTATGTAATACATCTTGTAGACTCATCGGAAGTTATCAATCATACAAATTTGCTTTAAAGAGAAGTGCCAAACCCAGTGATTTGATATTTTTTCTTTCACTTGATTTTCATTGACTACGTGTGCTAGACAAAAGCTTTAGTTTTGTTTATACTTTGATAGTAATTAATTGCTAAAATAAAACTTCTCATAGTAAGTTGAGCAGCAAGCACCTTTACAACGTAGGTGAATAACAATCTTTGACAAAACAATAAACTTTGTGAAATGGTTATTGGGTATAAGAGTTTTGAAGTGTAGAATCATTTATTTTGTTGCTCATGAGGTAATCTATAAAACTGAGTTTAAGGTTGAATATATAATCAATCAATTCTTATATCAATAACATAATGAAACGTATTCAATATTATAATAATATTTTCAAACGTGACTTAAGGACGGCGTCCAGATCTAGAGCCACCACTTGTTTTTATGTGTAATTCATTTTCTTTGTAAGTAAATGTTTCAAAATTATTCCATAATACGTTCAGAATCCATAGTTTCTATCCAAAGTTTTATAACTCAACAAAGTCAGTAATGCATTGTCTGCCTGTGATATATAATGCAACCTGTTCAGAAGCTGGTCAAAATAATTGTGTGTAGGGCGGTATCTGAAATTAAAGATAGACATTTAAAACGAAGTTGAAATTAATCATTACTGCCAAAAGGGCATTACTGACGTTCTTTAAAAAATGAAACGCAATGCTCGCGTAAATAATTTTATTCATAAGTAAAGATTTGTCAAAAACGGCTCTGATAGTCGGTGTCTTTGATAGTTGGAATTGGTGATTGCGATATATGGTATTTTTCCAGTAGTTTCATATTCCATATTAAAACAGGCCGATAGGGACCCAGTATCTCCACTGTTATATGAAGCGGCAGCACTCTAGTGAACCGTTGCCATCAGCGCAAAGTTGTACCTTCAACACCTGCACCTGTACTGCAGTGACCGGGATACCGCATCTCGTTAACGGCATACTATAATAAAATATGTTCACTAAAATTCCTAAGGCCCACCCAGTTTATAAAGTAACGAGATGAAAAATGGCCTGTTTAATTAAAATAGTATTTACTTTTGTCTTCTGTTACCAGGTAGTTTTCGAGAAAATGGCAAAAAAGTGTGGGAAAACTAGAAATTTTTCAACGATCGGCGCGTTTTCTCTGATGCCATGTGAATGAAACACCAATCCTGACTTTTGGTGAAGCGCACATTACCAGGATGGCAGCATAACCCACGTAGAAATTTTTTAACCAGATTGACCCAGCAGGAAGCTACAACTAGACACACAGACAGAACGACCGAGAATAGGGGTCTGCTAGAGCGGATATCCAGTGAATATTATTATCCTTTTTTATTATTAAATAGAGGAATAAAAAACATTTCGCAAAATAGCATTTTGTGCTGAACAATAAAAAATATGTCAGTCGAATGTTGTAAAAAAAAAAAACACTTCACACTATTCAATGAACATATATATATACATGCTCATTGCACTATTCTATTGCATTTAAATTGCACACGTTTAATGTGAAGGTGGCTGTATTGAACTAGCATACCTGTAGATGCCCAATCAAACCAAAATTTGCCCCCCAAAATCAATTTGCTCTCTATTACAAAAGTTGAAAGAATCACTGAATATCTATCAGTAGACATTGCGGAGACGAACCATGTATTATAAGATTATCAATCCTGGAAATCGCCTTTGAATATTTTGTACTAAGTTGTGCGAAACAATGCGAGAACGACACCGCTCGTAGTTGGGTACAACCTCCAAGTGGAAAGTTTCACAATAAAAACAGTTAGAAGTATATAAGATTAAAGATGTCTGAAACAATTATTCGAGTAAGAGTAAACACTACAAATTGCTGTAGATAGAATGATTCACTTTATTTTACCAAGCTATGCGGTATGTTTATTCAAATGTTTACAATAATAGTGCATTAGATAGAATATGATAGTACCAGCTTCTAAGATACATGAAACGACAAAAAGTATTTTCTTATATAAAATAAATCGATTTATTTATTTTTATCCTGCATTTTCAAGATATATGAGTTAGGATAGGAAATCAAGTCAAGACTGTGACAGAATTTAGGAAGCTTAAAAAATCTACACATGCTGTTTCGTTATCGTATTCGTTAGGTGATGTCAGTATCAGAATGAATGAACTAAATTGTACCAGCACGTAAATTATAAAGGTAATGTACACGAGAGAGGAATTTTCTCAATAAAAATGTGTATAAATCTGATTAAAGTGTAGTGAACAAAACTATTGCATGTACTAACTACTAACTATTGCATATCGCATGAACTAACTTAAACAAGACTGTAGCAAAATGTAATGCAAAATGTAACCAAATCAGTATTTTGTGACAAATTGGCCACAATTCAACAGGAAAATATTGGTCAAAGATTAGTAAAATATTGTTGTTCATGTGCGAACATATATATTGCTTTTTAAATTATGCTTTTTCTTTATTTGGAGTCAGAACGCTACAAATACATTAAAATGGGGTTATGTTTTATGCAGTCGGAACCATCTCAAAAACAACGTTTAATAATACTTATTTACTAAGTACTAAACGAAGTTTTTTTTACAGTCTTTACTTTATTCATTGCCGGAAAAGCCATGATAAAATTTTTTTTAATTGTAATTTAAGAGTTTTTATATAAAGATTCTTCAAAAAACATAAACAATTATTGCTTTGTAATAAAACTTTAATTTATTTTCAAGTTGGCAACCATGACGTTCAAGCTTAAAAAAAGATACCTGCCTATTCGAATAAATCAAACTAGATATAACATGATTTATCTAAGAAGCACGCACCATGGAAAAAAATAAGATATTACACTCGTTGAATTTAAACTATTCAATAGATAGGACAGTAAACTTTGCCATCATTCTTAAGATTTTCCTGTCCAAATTGCCCGTACTATTTCATAATTTTTATTTCAAAATTAATGTGCAATTTTTGTGATTTGTCATATTATTTCCTATAACTACATACCTTGATTTCGACATTGCTATCAACAAACTACACATTGAAAGCACTTAGTGAGTTGGGAAATTACCTTAACAGAGAATTCAGTTTTGACAATACATTGTAATCGATACCACAAGCAACTGTGATGGGCATTTCCTAACAATTACGTCTAAGCCGAGAGATTTTGAATTGAACAGAAACAGTACAAAATCAAGACAGCGGAAAAAATAAACTTGCATGTAGAATGATAATTTTTTGTATCATATATTCGGGCATTTTTCTTATCTTTGTGATATTTCATGAAACGAGTCCGTTGTAATACTAACCTAATGGTAAAAGTGCGCGTATTTTTATCTTTGATTGAAACCTCCTATTGGAAAAGAAATGGTCGCAAGATGATCAAAAAATTGAACTCTTCTAAACTGATGGTGATTTTAATAGCCAAGGAAAGTCGGGTTTAGTAAAAATATAATTGGCTATGAATATTGCCGGACAAAATGTTAGACGTTTAAAATGAATTCCATTTTTCTAATATTTAAACATCACAATACAATTTTAAACGAACTAAAGATCGTGACAAAAAGTGTGACGTTATATATTGAAATAACATGTGATAAATGGATAGGCAAATGCTTGGTATACTACAGGCAATCATTTAGCGTGTACAACTAACATAAATGAGATTGAGATAATCGCATGTAGCAGACGATTAAATAACAACAGGCAAGATACCATGCATGTAGTAATATTTCGTCAAGTATTAATGAAATAATTTCTTGCTTTAATTTGATTCCAGTGTTTTCTACGCGTCGCAAACTTAAGAGATATATTGTTAGAAAAACTTTAGTGAAATATACCAGAAGAATTAAATAAAAAATTACCGTTTTGACATTTAGTACGCAGTTTTCTAAGTAGGGTACACAACAGCTAATCAAAAAATTATTTGAGGCTCACGAATTTAATTTCATTGTATTCTCTTTGTATTTTGTTATGGAAGTTGAAGAAGCGTAACAAAATGAGTATTTCTCAACTTATGATAATCTACACATTCTGTTTTTCTGCATTTCTTTCGACATATTCAGCATCAAACAGTGTGAGTACTATTATACGAATTTTATTACTACCTAAAATGATTCACTATTTGCGATAAATATTTTAATTGGAATAAATAGCTGTATTGGAAAGATCAAAATCATTGACTCGATTCGAGTTGAAATTGAGTCACCATTAATCAAAAACTCTAAGTACCTCGACGCGTTTGAATGGAATAACTTGAACATGTCATCATTCATTCGCCAGTGAGACTCAACTTAGTGATAGAATCGACTTCGGGTCGGACTCGTCACGTAAATAATTGTACTATAGACCTGACTCACGGGTTTAAATAATTCTACCAAGCACTGTACTTACACAATTACATTTTAAATTCATATTCACAATTTCTTTCAAACACCCATAGACTGCCTGTCATCTTCCCATATTTGCTGTCCATGATAATGAAACCGTTCAAATTTACAAGCCTGCGTCTTACAAGATCAGTGAATGACGACTAATATAAAAGTGGAAGTGTACATAACTAATAAATATATCTGAATTACCTTTGTTGTCGTTGTATTTGAACTTCCAGTATATTAACCATAAATATTGTTTTTAACTCTAGACCCAAAAACCAGATATCTATGAACTTAAAACTCAACGA